AAAAGTACATACCCTGTCATGCTGAGAATGGAAGGCAACTTTCAAGCCTGATAATATCAAGAGTGCTTGAGCTACTGTAATCATAAAGCATGTATGCAGCTTAAACGCATTGAAGCGTAAGGAATTTTTATTAGGACTATGTGCCATACACCTGTAGAGTAATGGATTCCATGTACTCGCCTAATTCCTAATTGTGAGAGGTTGAGTGTGATAGCAAGAAAGAGGCTGAGAAGTACATTGCACAGAATCTGAAATAATATTAGTCACCTATCATAACCAAGTGCTAAACCCATAATGGTCAGAATGTAGTATGTATAGAAGCACCAACAATCACTTCGGTAAATGGACACACGTAAAGTATTCAGAATGTTGCATGTGTGCCTATTTATTTAATGAGAGGAATGCTCCTGAATACTGCAAGGACAACTTTATAAAGCACATTTGAGAAGTAGAAGCCGGAGCCTTAGTCAGGAATGGTATGGGGGAATCAATGACAGTACTTATTATCAAAACCAAGTGCTAAACCACTGGGGTCATACAGCACTGCAGGGTAGAGGTTGTAAGGGTGGTGAGGAGTGCTAAAGGAAATATAATCAAAGGTTGTGTAATAAATCTGTTGCTGTCAAAGTCAAACAAGGAGTGTGTGTCAAAGGTGGGGCCATTAGCAAAGAAGGAATATAAAGTGAGGGTATTTGAGCGGTGACATGAGAGGTAAATTCTGTGTGCTTGCTGGAAGACTGGACAGTCAAATAGAATATGGCAAACTGAAATTGGAACCTGACAATTTGCACAGAGTGGAACTGAGTGCCTCTCCATGAGATACCCATGAGTGAGATGTGTGCACCTGATGCAAAGAAAGGACAATACTAAAACAATAATAGCAACTTCAGGTGCTCATAACCCTACCCACCAGTGAGCTCAAACAGGGAGGCACTTTATCATTCTCTTTGTGGGGAAATGTTAGGTCCTTAATGAGTCAAACAGAGCCTGTGTAATAAGAGGTGATCATGCATGATCTGAGGAAGTGTTGACAATTCCAATTCCTCGAATCAAGACTCCTTCAGAATTATTATAAAGAGAAAGCACTAAAACGACCCCAGGACTAATAGAGGCTACACAAGTAACCAACAGAGGACTAAGCAACAGTCTCGGGGCCAAAAGGGTACCCACCACTCTGAGGTCTGCTTGGCCCTAGCCAGATACACTGCCTCCTAGTGCCTCCTTGAGAGGTCAAACACCACTCCACCCATACAATACTACTAACACACTTCTTCCACAGCTCACCATGACTCAAGAAATCGTAATGACACGATTGCAAACAAACCATACCCCCGGCCGGGGTTGAACCCGTGGCTAGCTGGTCTAGTGGCTAACGCGACGGGCTGGAGTTTTGAGACTATGACCCCAGGTTCAATCCCGGCCGGGGGTATGGTAAGCTCACCATCTAGGAACCACAAAACAAGAATCCAAGATCTGTGAGACCAGGCAGCTAATGCAAGACCAACAATGAGCCTTCTGTTATGCTTCGATCCGCCCACCAAAAAAGCGCGTTGCACACTCAAGGACCTTGACTCCAAGGTCAGAATCAACTTGCTGAAGAGTGAAAGCGAAGGACATATTGGTACCCAGGATAGCCACAGCAACAACAAGACCCATAATCTACCACCACCATGTAAAGCAATAACTCAGTCGTAGCTAAAAAAAAAAAATAATGTCATCAAAGTGAGCAGTTAGAACCTTCTTGACCATTTTCTTCCATCCAAATATGATATATAAAAAAACATTCACATGGTAAGAGGTCAATTATAAATATTTATATAAAGTACATGCATATAAAAAATGCACGTGAATTTTATTTTCAATAAATTATTACATACAAGGAAATGAAATATGTACAGAACAAATTAAGATCTTTTTATGATAAAACTGAATATAAAAATGCATACAAAATTGGCAAAGTAATAATACTAATCAATGGAAATAAGAAATACACTTGGAGGCATAAATAAAAATAGTAAAGAGGAGCTGTACATTTTAGACTGAGGCCCTCTTCAGCTTATAACTGATGAAGACAATTTGAGGGGTCAAAATATTCAGCTCCCTCTATGTTATTCTGTATACATCTCCCAGTGGGTTTTTTAGTTTCCACATAAATGCATATTTAAATATTTTATCAAATTATAAAAATATAACATTTACCTTTCATATAGTACATTAGTATTTTTCATAACAGAACTAACATTACGGTTTGTAAAAAATCTAAATTATTATAATTTTTGATTACAGTGAAACCCTGGATTTCATCCTTAATCCGTTCCAGAAGGTCGGTCTAAATCCGAAATGGACAAACAGTGAAGCAATATTTCCCATAAGAAATAATGTAAATACATACAGTTAATCTGTTACAGACACCCAAAAATATTAACAAAAAATGCATTTTTTAAAGAATAACTATAGTTTTACATACAGAAAACAATGAGAAAGATATATAAATGACTAATGAAATAGATAAATGAACATTTAACATCTCTTGTTAGGGGTATGGACGGTGAGGAGGGGGGAGGGAGTAGGAGCAGAGGTTACTGTTTGGAAGGGAAATCCCTCTCCATAAGGACTTCAGGTATCAAGGCCCTATCCGGGGTTACTTTCCTTCTTTGTCTGTATAGTCCTTGTGGCTTAGCGCTTCTTTTGATTATAATAATAATTTCCTTCTTTGTCTTTTACTGGCACTGGACCCCTGTTGCAATAAAAATCTGTTCAGAGAGCTCTGTTTCTAGCATCTGTTTAAGATTTGCCTAAAATGGGACAAGGTATTGTCACTGAACATGTTGCAGATACGGCTTGTATCAGCTTGGCCAGGGTGATATTTTTCCACAAAAGTTTGCACCTCATTCCACTTTGCACAAATGTCCTTAATCATCCCTTTTGCAACATCAGCTTCCTTGATTTCTACTTTCTTTGCCAGCATGGAACTGATTGTTGATTTAGTGAGCTCAGCCACACGTATGCCACTTCTGTATTTTTCTACAATCTCTTGAATTCTATCGTGTTTCTCACCTTCTTTACCAAAGGGTTGGCACTAGGAACCTTCTTTGAGCACATGGGGGCTTATTTCGCAGTGGCACTCGATAAACAAGCACAAAAAAATGGATTATTATGAAATTTCAGATGAATGCTCACTCAACCAGTGACAGAGCCAGACTGAGACATTCACGCATGAGTGGCGGTGTCCCGGGTGGGCAGACGCATCTGACACGGATGATTTCCGGGATGAGGTACAAAATCCGGAGTAAAATTTCGCCGAAAAAAGTGGTCAAAATCCGAATCATATGATATCTGGTGCAGACGAAATCCGGGGTTCCACTGTATATTCACTCTTTGAATTGTATTTTAAGGATAAAAATGACATGAACTGTGTGGTTTATCCTAGCATACAGCCTCTTCCCATTTGAAATGGCTCTCTTGAAATAAAGAATCAAAACACTCAATAAATATTATTAATTATTTTTATACACAAATAACTTGTACATTAGGAGCCTGAAACTTATGACAATCTTTCGGTCTGACTTGGGCCATTATGTAGTCACCAGCTAATGGTTCTAGTTGGACAAAAACATCATAAGTTTGTCTCCTAATATGCAGGTTATTTGTGTTATGTTCCAATCACTGTATTGTGCCTTTTTATTCTTCATAATCATTTTTATATTAAAGAAGCCATAAACCTGTGAACATCATACAGTGTTACATCATTATTTCAACATATATTTGGATTTATAATACATCTGTTACTTCAAAATTCTTTTGTAATTTCAGATATTGATATAAATAGGCCTACCAAGTAATTTACTCTATCTGTAAGAAGGGTGTGCTACAGATAAGAAACATGCAGATTTTAACATGGAATCTATGTATACTGGAATATGAAAGCTATCCTTACTCAAACAGAAACTGTACAAGTAATTTTTTATATAATCCTTTCTTAAACTAGACAAAAATAAATGAATTTCCATCATAATTAATTAATGTATCCCAGTCATTCATTTGCTATTCAAATACTGACTTTGGCTAGTCCAGCTACCCACCCTCTGGAAAATGTCTTATTTGCATACTTTTGGTACACTCTTACTGATGTATTACCTCTGGAAAGAAGTCCAGGGATAAGCAAAAGTTTTCTACTGGTTGTTGAGTCAATTTCCAAAGGAAGGAGACAATTATTATCTGAACCATGATAGTACCAAGGTCAGTATAAATACACTATGTGGCTGCAGAAGGGTGGTTTAATTCAGAAACTAACTTTCCAGTGATGTAACTGACCTTTCAACTCTAGGTTGGATAACAGATGAATGAGTAGTTGAGAAATCATGACATACTACGAGTGACAAATTCAAGCTAAACTGCACTCAGAATCTGATACAAATAAACCTTAAACTGTCTTCAAAATTAAATTTTAATACCACCAATATGTCACTTTAATCAACATTATATGGTATTTTTCAAATATATTGTCATTCTAAGCAACAATTGCTGGGAAAAGTACCATATTTTGAAAATGCTACACTCTGTAAACACCACATATTCATTACACATGACTAGAAAATGGCATCACAAAAATTTTTAAATTTCATATTTACATTACTCATATTTAAAATATAAAATCAATATTTTCTGTAGGAAATAATAATAAAAATAAGCTGTTTATAACAAGGTTCATTACTGTATAATGAAATTTAAGACTATACGATAATCTTATTTTGAAAGTCACTGCATTCTGTTTCACTTTCTGAGAATAGTAGAATGTTAATACAGCAAGGCGTGAGTGAATCATGCCATGATGTTGACCCAAGATGGAGCTGAAACTAATTGGTGCTACCACACGGTACCCCGGTGTCCCAGATTTTTTTCATACTGCGCACATTGAGTGCGCAGACCCATTCTCTCGTGTCTAGGTGACTCAGGCCTATCACGCTAAATTTGAAGGAATGAAAAATAAAACCCAGATCTACATTCAGTGCGCTACGCATACAAACGTATGCAGTAGACCGTCATTTAGCATGAGTTTATTTGGCACGACATGAGTATTGCACAATTGAAGAATTGCAGCACAATTTTATGTAACACATCATATAATTAATTTAACACGGTTCAGTCTGTGGGAAGGAAAAAAAAATTAGCTTTTTCTCAAGCGGCCGCCTTGTTGTGGAGCAGCTGGGGAGCCCTCCCGCCATCCTTTACCACTCCCCGACACCACCCCACCATCCCAGTCCAGTCTTTCTCTGCTACAAGGCAGCTGTGTTTTTTAATTGTTATGGTATTTTAATTGCTATATCTTGTATCTTCCAAGCAATCATAACACCCAGTAGCCATACCAGTGTTGCTGAAAGTGGCATGAAGAGGTATAAGGACTTAAGTCTTAGAATTAACAAAGAAACAAAGATATTAGACAAGAGATAACCTGTAGCTGTAATGAAGTGCTACTTTGTACACAGAAAAAGAGGTAAACATGAGTTTGTGAGACTGACTGAGTGACTGACTTACTGTGTGATTTGACTGACTGACTGAGTGACTTGACTGATTTGCTGAGTGACTTGATGGACTTACTGAGTGACTTGACTGACTTATTGAATGATTTGACTGACTGAATGATTTAAAGTTAGACACTCCAGTACAACCATTGACTTCAGTACCAGAACCTCTACCATCCACCTCAGCCCAGTAGAGCCACAGCATAACTCTCCACTCTCTGCACAAACACCAGCACCTACAATTTAAGGTAAGAAATACTATTATTTGTTACATTTGTAGTCTTAAGCAGTAAAAACAACATAATACATCACAACAATAAACTACAACTTCATATTCACTTTTATTTTTGTAAGATGTGGATGTCTAAAAAAAAGTTGTTTGGCTTTTTGGGGGCTCCCAGGAACATAACCCGATTTTTCCTAGAAGTTCTTCAGTTCATCTAACACGATTTTACATAACACAGCACTTTGAGGAACGTAACTACCGTGCTAAATGACGATCTACTGTATATGCGTTTGGACAGTTTAAGGGTTAATAACCCATACTACTCAAGCACTTTATGAAACAGAACAACAACAACAGCTAATTCCATAACCTTTTTGGAGCTTTCTTGTTTACTGGAGCTGGTGTGGTTCCCAAACTGTTTTGCACACTCCTGTATTGAACTTACATTGGTTGTCTATTGAAGGTCAGTACAACATATTCACCAATACTGTACATATATAATGCTGATGATGACCATTTTATGGTCCTCCGACATTAGCTTTGATGTCTTGTTTACCCTCAGGTTATTTCTCTGTCATAGGTAGCATGTGTGAGTGAGTTAATTTAAATATTTAGTGAAGTAAACATTTTATGTGATACACAATAAATCTTTACCATCTTTTCAATAAAAAAAATGCTACAAATATTGTAGCTTTCCTGTTTTATTAATGCAAAGTACAATAAGCACATTGTGTAGAAAACACCAAGTATGTTAAACACAGCGTGTAGATAAACATTGCCAATAAATTCTAATGCAGCATATATGTGAGCAATCTTGAGGGTTCTTCTACCCCCATGGCCCAGCCCAATGCTATTCTGAAAGGTAAAAAAGCTAAGAAGTTTACAAACTGTACAACAGCTCTAATATCAACTTTACCCATCTAAAAAAAAAAAAAAAATAGAAAAAAATCAGAGTATGGTTCCCTGAAGTTTCTTGCCCATCTTCTAAAAACAGAACTGTATTATGCAAATTCTTAAATAGAATGATAAATTAAGTCATTTTGTTGTATGTTGAGTAGAGTTAAATTGCTGTTAATTTTAGTGTAAAGTTATATAATACACAATATATCAAAATTCATAAAAAAAGAACATTTAGGAGAGGAACCTTATGACAATGTTTTGGTCTATCCTGGACCATTGTCAAGTCACAGCTGAGGCAAGGAAAGTAGAGAAGACTTAAAGACAATGCAGTGGAAGAAGGAAGTGGTGGTGGTGGTTGTAGTAGTGCCAGTACTACTACTAGTACAGTATATGAAGTACCAAAAATTTGCACGGGCACATTACTCTTCTCTCCTTCGAGGAAGAATCTTCAGGGGATCTAATAAATGCCATTACAGAAGCACTGTGACACAAGTACTATTGTTACTTTACTATTGTTACTTTACTATTATTACTTTACTATTACCACTGATCATGAGTGTGTCAAGAATTAAATGGACATCTCATGGTAACTACTAGCCATTACAATGATCAATGTTGTATTTAACCACTACATTTATTAAATGTTTTACCGAGTATTAGAACATTCTGGACCACGCTGATATTATTGTAAGAAAAGACTACAACAATATTTGTAAAAATCTTAATCACAATTATTACATCTGAAATATTTTTGTGAAGTGAATTATAATTTAAATTATTACTACAGTACAACAGGATATTTACATTAAAGGCATAAAACACTTATGCCTATTTCACTGCATAATTCAACTAGTATATACTAATAATTATAACACAATAAATAATCTGTTTCAATAATTGGTGGTACATTTCAAGAACAGTAATGTATTTGGCAAGATTTATAGAGAGAAAAAAAAAAAAACTTGCTACATAACATTTAAATACATATAACATTATTTAATATTTTTGAAAATGTAACTTTCGTATTGCATAAGCATAAGCATTAGTACCACTGCTGCTATAAACAATATGTGAAATCAAAGTGCTGTGAAGACTTTTTTTTTTAACACACTGGCCATCTCCCACTGAGGTAGGGTGACCCAAAAGAGAAGAAACACTTTCACCATCACTCACTCCATCACTGTCTTGCCAGAGGGGCCCCAAAACTACAGTTCAAAATTGCAAATATCTCCACTCCTCCTTCACGTAACTACAAAATAGTTCTTTTGAAAAGTATTTGTGCATAAATGAGTGCTTTTTCCCTCTTAACCACTGTGTCACTGAACCTAAAATAAGAGTTTACCCTGAAATTGCAATAAATTTAAATAGCATAAACCTAAGGGACAAGTCTGATAATAAAAAAAAATGCCCTCAATATAACCAACTAATTGGAGGGATTCTCAAACTGTTCCATACATCAAAATAATGTTTAAAAAAAATCACAGAAAAAGCACTAGAATAATCTAAAGCATACAGTGGACCCCCGCATAGCGACCTTAATCCGTGCAAGAGGGCTGGCTGTTATGCGAAATGTTCGCTATGTGAATGAATTTTCCCCATAAGAAATAATGGAAATCAAATTAATCCGTGCAAGACACCCAAAAGTTTGAAAAAAAAAATTTTACCACATGAAATATACATTTTCCTACACACAAAGAGAAGGATACATGCACAATAGTAGAGTAGTACATGCACAACATATATTGTGCATGTACTACTCTACTAAATGAAGAATAAATGACACTTACCTTTATTGAAGATGCAGCAATGACTGATGAGACACTGTGTCCTGGGAGTGCCTTTTCCTCCTGAGTACTGTAGGTCCTGTTTGGTATTTTCTTCCAGAACAGGCCTTATCACACTGTGTATGTCACTACGATTCTTAAATCTCTTCAAACCAACCTTTGCTGGCTCTAAATTCACCAATATGAGCACTAGTTCCAGGATTTTCCCTGTTCACCTGGGTGTTAGTCGACTGGTGTGGGTTGCATCCTGGGAGACAAGATTAAGGACCCCAATGGAAATAGTTAGACAGTCTTTGATGACACTGACTTTTTTGGGCTATCCTGGGTGGCAAATCCTCTGGGGTTAATTGTTTCTTGGTATTCTCAATAAGCCACACCAACAACGGTGCTACAGCAGCAGCAGCAGCAGCTGGACGATGTTACAGCAGCAGCAGACGATGCTACAGCAGCAGCAGCAGCAGTCGATGCTACAGCAGCAACAGACGATGCTACAGCAGCAGCAGACGATGCTACAGCAGCAACTGACGATGTTACAGTAGCAGCAGACGATGCTACAGCAGCAGCAGCAGCTGACGGTGGAACAGCAGCAACAGACGATGCTACAGCAGCAACAGACGATGCTACAGCAGCAGCAGACGATGCTACAGCAGCAGCAGATGATGCTACAGCAGCAGCAGACGGTACTACAGCAGCAGGAGCAGCTGACGGTGGTACAGCAGCAGCAGCTGACAGTGCAGCAGCAGCAGCTGTACCACCAATAGTAGCGATGGTTGATTGGGGTTTATTATACAACCTGGCCAGCTCGGAGACACGCACTCCACTTTCATTACTTATCAATGATCTTTTTCTTCATCTCCATAGTAATTCTCACCCTTTTTGCTGTAGGGTTGGCACTAGAAGCTTTCTTGGGGCCCATGGTCACTTATTTTCCAGAAAAACACAAAAATTCTTTGTAATAATGCATACAGATTGTTTTTGCCCCTTGATTACGCGAGGCTGGCTCGTGTAACAAATGATACCCTGGAAATTGGCGATAATTAACGCAATTGGACGCGCTGGACAAGGCCTGAGGTATAAAAAAAAATGCCCTCATGTAGACAACATTTTGCGGGACTCAAAGCTGTCCCTATCGATATCGTTTAAAAAAGATCCGTAAAAGCACTAGATATTAAGTATTAATATAGTACTGTACACATCATTTACAGAAATATAGCAATAAACATTGAAAATAAATGCATTAAAATTACACTTTACCCAGTTAATTTTGTCTATTTCAGAAATCTGTTAATTCATGTTGCAGAAAAAACTTAATCTCAAACTAAATTTTGACCCCCTCAGCCTCAATAAATTAAAACTTAATAATTTTTTTTATAAATATTTTGGTGGAAAACTAATACACTTTGTAACAACATTTTTAACTATGTTTGTAAAAAATTGGACAGACAAAATTGGACAAGGGTAATATCATTACAAAGAGGTGTATATCTTTAATAAGAATGTTCTAGAGATAAGGTTTGGGCCAGTACAATCCAGGGCTGTAAGCCCTGGACCCTAGTTCATTTCCTCTGTAATTATAATATATTATTACATCCAGGACCATTATCGCACCTTCATGGTATTATTAAAAAAAAGTTGATCAGTTAGTGCCAATTTATTACAGAATTCTTAAATACCATTAGGTTGCATGTAATGTACAGTGCATTATTAAGAATTACTTAGAATAATCTTGCTATGTCATCAAAGCTTATAAGTAGGTAACATTACTAGTATTATATTCTTTTATCGGATAAATTTTGAGTATTCAGTTATCCTAACGATTTACAAAGGCAGTCTGGATAAATTTTTTGAGTATCATTTATCAATATAGATTATGACAAAGGCAGTCATAAAAAACGTATTAATTACCAATATTATTTAAAAATTAGTTCCATAGTGTGAAAATTATTAAGTAATTAAACCAAATAAATTACAAAATTTTCAAGAGTAACAAGACAATTATATTAAAAAAGAACTACAAATAGTTTACAGTAAATTACAAGCCTAAAAAAAGGATATAATAGTAAGGTATGTCACCATATTCAAAGGTCATTATATCACATGTACTAAATGCATTTATCTCTATATTGTGAAAGAGCTGTGACCTCGACATCCTACCTATAATACTAGGAACTACTACTATTTGTTTTGAAACCATAGTGAGGCTTCTGGATTATCCCAGAGGATTAATAACTTAGGGTAACACTGTGGCTTATTTTTGTTGGGTCCTTTATAGGTCCTATTCCCCATGGATATGACTAAATAAATAAATAAACTTGTCCATTCATCGTGCCCAGGGTGCGACCTCAGATACTTTCAGTTGTGAGCTGAAAGCTGAATACGTCAATGGAAGTTTTTAACATTACATTATACACAGCTCTATTAACTTAACATAAATATTATATTAACCAAAAAATAGCTTTTGAAATATTATATATAGGATAACCAAATAATTAAACAGTAGATGCCAAAAAAGGTACCTGAAAGTAGTACTCATCTAGAAATAGATTTGGTGCAACTCAGAAACTAACGTTTTTCAAGCGTTTCGTTGTCCATATATGTTACTTGAGTGAAACCTACGGACATACCCTAAACAGGGTTTAATTCAGAGACCAAAAATCCAAATTTTAATTCAATAACAATGTAAAACAGCATCCACAAATAAAAACATTAACAATTTTAAAATAATTTCTTTGATTTTTAAGGAAGTTCATGACTACTATACAGGCTACAATTTCAATAAATATCACTTAAATACAGTATATAATAAAATGGTTACTACCTAGAGATACCTGGAGAGGGTTTTGGGGGTCAATGCCCCCATGGCCCGGTCTGTGACCAGGCCTTGCCTGGTCTTGTAAATTTGGAATATAGAACTGATGCCTATAAAACATGTTTCAAGAAATAAATAATAATTTGTGTGCAATTTGTGCTCAACTTCTAAAAAAATGCTACAAAAGTATTATCTATTGCAATGATATAACACTACGGTATTGCTACCACAGCACTGTATTTATTGAAGTAATAGTGCTATAGTATTGCTACAGTAGCACTGTATCTATTGCAGTGCTAAGGTCTAGTCATTATTCTGAAATCTTCTCACACACTGAAAATCAATATGGATAAATCAAACTGGATAAATGCTGTGATATACCTGTGACTGATTTTGAGGGCTCATCAGCCCATGCAGACTGTCCTGAGGCCAGATTTCCTTGCTGACTGCCTGATCAACCAGGCTGTTGCCTCCAGCAGCCTACAGATATACACTGCCATCACAACCTGCCTCATTTGACACTTACAAAGAAACTACCAAGTCATCACCATATAAATTAAAAATCTTTATACAGTGATGGGAAATGATGCAACAGTAGTAGCTATACTTAATTTTGCTGCAGAAGTTATGCTGAAGTTTTTCTTAATGACTCAGTATGCTGGAAAAATGCTGTAAGGCTCACTATATGGAAGTGATAGTGAAGGAGTCACTATATGTCATTCTTGAGAGTGACCTTCATAGAATTTGGAGAGTATATGGAGACACCTTTGGTTTCTTCTGGAGGCATGTCATTAAGGCCAGCAGTCTCTTCATCTTTGGAAGCTGTGAATGAAATTTGTTATTAGAAAGCATAAAATATCCAGCTTTTGATATACGAGGCATTGTGCAGCAGAAAAGAATAAGCACAATTCAAACAACGGAGAAAAATGCAGACGTGGGGACAGATCAGAGTTTAGAAGCTCAAGCTACCATATTTTGTTATGGGGGTCTGAGCCTAACTTACAGATACAGAAGACAACAACTACACACTTTTCTGCCCCTCTCTGCCTCATAAGACAGATTTTCGGTGGATAACCCTGGAGGGTTAGCCACCCAGGATAACCCATAAAAATCAGTTTGTCAACGAGGACTGTCTTATTTTCATTGTGGTCCTTCAATATTGTCCCCCCAGAATGCCACTCACACCAGTCAACTAACAAATTAAATTAAACCCAACTAAGAGCACCGGTCCCAATAACATCCCGCCTAAGTTCCTAAATAATGGCGCCTCTGAATTATTACCAGTTCCTATTGCGCACATAATAAATTTGTCCATAACCACAAATACTGTCCCGGAAGGATTCAAAGAGGCCAGAGTTACTCTTCTCTTCAAGAAAAATAGTAGATCTGATGTCAGCAACTATAGGCCTGTTAGTATACTCAGAGTGATGTCCAAAATTCTAGAGAAGGCAGTATACTGTCAAGTAGTTAAGCATCTTAATGACAAAAACATTCTTCATAGTTACCAGTCAGATTTTAGGAGATCTCATTCAGCCAACACCTCCCTCATTAATTTGATGAACTACCTGAGAACTGAAATGTCACTAGGGAATTTCATAGGAATGGTAACCATAGACTTGCAAAAGGCCTTCAATACAGTTAACCATAATATATTATATAAGAAACTACCAGCTATTGGCATGAGTTCTGTAGAATGGTTTAAGTCCTACCTGAGCAACAGTAACCAAATTGTCAAAATCAACAATAGAGAACCAGAACCCATGCCAATAACATGTGGGGTTTCTCAAGGTAGTATCCTGGGCCCTTTGCTATTCCTGTGCTATGTGAATGACATGCCTATCAGTGTCAAATGCAAGCTTCTACTGTACACAGATGATAGTGCTCTGTTAGTATTAGGTAAAGACCCACAAGACAATGCTAATGTACTATCACTAGAACTAGAGTCCTGCAGCAAGTGGTTGGTAGACAACAAATTATCACTACAGTGGTTGGTAGACAACAAATTATCACTACACCTTGGGAAAATGGAAGCCATACTCTAGGGCACGAAACAAATTGAAAAGGGTAAATAATTTTAATGTCCAGTGTAATGGGGGACCTATTATTACAGTAAATTCGGTGAAATACCTGGAAATCCCCTTTGACCTACGCATATCAGGAGTACTAATAAGGAACAATGTTGCAAAGAAAGCGAATGCCAGACTAAGGTTCCTCTACAGACAGACAAAGTGCCTACCTACTGAGTCTCGCAGGACCCTATGTCTAGCTCTCATTCATGTATTATAGACTACTCTTGCTCTTCACAGAACTGCCTCAACAAAAAAAAACTGAAAGATAGGCTACAAATCATCCAGAACAAAATGGTGAGATTCATTCTGGACCTGGGTCCAAGAGAGCATATAGGCCAGAATGAATTACAACTGGACATGCTGATTGTTGAAGACAGAGTAAATCGACTAAAGCTAAATTATGTTTATAAAATTGCTCACACTCAGTGTCGCCAATATCTTACTGCCAATTCTGTTAAGGCCAGAAACCAATGGAATTACAGAACAAGGGGAAGGGAGAACAACTTTGCAGTACCTAGAGTCAGTGGTCAGGCTTCAAAGATTCTTTTCTGTTCTGCAATAAAAGAGTGGAATAGATTGCCTGTATATGTCAAAGCCTGTCATAGCATGAGCAAGTTCAAGAAGAGAGCCAAAATGTACTACTTCATGAATAAGGCTACAGAAAGGGAGGAGAGTGATTTCTTGTATGAAAATAACTAATTTTACATCTCACCTAGTATATCTTTTTTAATTGTAACTGCTTTTACATAGTTAAGATACTTACTTGAGCATCTTACTTGAGTCCTGGAAATGGGAAGTACAATGCCTGCACTCTAAAGAAGGGGTTTGGGATATTAGCAGTTTGGAGGGATATGTTGTGTATCTTTATACATATATTCTTCTAAACTGTTGTGTTCTGAGCACCTCTGCAAAAACAGTGATTATGTGTGAGTGAGATGAAAGTGTTGAATGATGATGAAAGTATTTTCTTTTTGGGGATTTTCTTTCTTTTTGGGTCACCCTGCCTCGGTGGGAGACGGCCGACTTGTTAAAAAAAAAAAAAAACTATCACAAGGACCCCAAAGAAAATAAGTCACTTTGTCTGACTTTTTTGGGTTATCCTAGGTTCCTACACTTATGCTGCTATGTATGATATTCTGTGTAATTGTGTATACCTGAATAAACTTACTTATCCAGGTACCTATTTACTGCTAGGTGAATAGGGACAGCAGGTGTAGGGACACACACCCAATAATAATAATAATGTTTCCACCTGGTTGGGGATTGAACAACACTCAGTGTGTGAGGCAAGAGCATTGCCTACCAGACATCATATATGTATCTGCTGCCACAATAAATAAAAAAAAATTATAATAACAGATGGTAACAAATTCTTCAGTAAAGCTTGATAAATTAAAGTAGATTGAGAAACCAAAATACAGTGGTACCCAGAGTTTCGGCCATAATTCGTTCCAGAAGGCTGTTAGAGTGCTGTTACCAAACGAATTTATTCCCATAAGAGATAATGTAAATTAAATTAGTCCATTTCAAACCTCCAAAAATACACTTATAACAACACTTACAAGAATACACTTACATAATTGTTCAAGCTGGGAGCTGTACAAAACTTGAGGTACCACTGTATTATTATACTATTTGTGGGAATCACTAAATGTGCAAGGGTCTTATATTTCCCAAAAGCAATCAGGTCTGATCCAAGGAAAGAGTAGCTCCAATTCCTTAGATCAACAGGAGTTCATCAGCATCATGCCCTTACCCTTTGAGGGAGAAACTACTGTAGAGAATTAGCAAAGTACACAATATGGCAACATGTATTTTGCAAAATGTGTATTGCACTGTAGTTATTATTATTATTGTTAGGAAGACTGCACAATGCTATTTCTAGAATTTTTGAGATTTGCATCACTGCACTGACATTGTACCTACACTTGTATAAAGGCGCAGCTTGTGACCCACTATGTATAAATATTTTAAACTCAATGCAGCCACAATATTGAATTTTGAAGAAATCATGATGAACCATTGAGGATATGAGCAGCATTAAAGGTTCTGAAGCTGAGGTAAGATATTGGTATAAAATGCAAACACAGTGCTTTAAATGGTGGTGAGGTACAAAGGCAACAACAGCTGCAAAACAAGTTTCAGACTTAATAAAATTTAAACAGCATTCATGTTCCAGTCTCTCATTATGGGAGATATCAATTATGAGAATTACACAAGCTGAGAAGTATTTCCTTGATTTCATATATAATTACTCATTATATACATATCCCAAATCCCATGTGAAATCCAATCTAGAAAATGACGTTATAGTTATCAAGTCCAGGTTGGAAACTCAATCTAAGAAACACTAGTTAAAGCCCAGGAGGAAAATTAATATTGTTAATTTAATGACTTTATTAAATTACCCCAGCTGTACTGGCTTATGTATGTACTAGGTCTACATATTAGTAGTATATAAGCCTTAGGATTAGACTGCCTGAAATAGGATTAGATTGCCTGAAATAGGATTAGATTGCCTGAAATAGGATTAGATGCCTGAAATAGGATTAGATTGCCTGAAATAGGATTAGATGCCTGAAATAGGATTAGATTGCCTCAAATAGGATTAGATTGCTTGAAATGCATTTGCATAATTAAGAGGCTTTTTCTTAGCCTTATGTATCATATCTGTTACAACTGAAATTGAATTGAATTTGAAATGTTTATTTCTCTGTAATGATTACAATGTGGGGGTTTACATATTATAAAACATTAATTACAATATGTTGTTTACATATTATAAAATATTAATTACAAAGAAAGCCACTAGCATGCCTAGGCATTTTGGGCAGACTGGAGTTTACCTGGAGAGAGTTCCGGGGGTCAACGCCCCCGCGGCCCAGTCTGTGACCAGGCCTCCTGGTGGATCAGAGCCTGATCAACCAGGCTGTTACTGCTGGCTGCACGCAAACCAACGTACGAGCCACAGCCCGGCTGGTCAGGAACCGACTTTAGGTGCTTGTCCAGTGCCAGCTTGAAGACTGCCAGGGGTCTGTTGGTAATCCCCCTTATGTATGCTGGGAGGCAGTTGAACAGTCTCGGGCCCCTGACACTTATTGTATGGTCTCTTAACGTGCTAGTGACACCCCTGCTTTTCATTGGGGGGATGGTGCATCGTCTGCCAAGTCTTTTGCTTTCGTAGTGAGTGATTTTCTTGTGCAAGTTCGGTACTAGTCCCTCTAGGATTTTCCAGGTGTATATAATCATGTATCTCTCCCGCCTGCATTCCAGGGAATACGGATTTAGGAACCTCAAGCGCTCCCAGTAATTGAGGTGTTTTATCTCCGTTATGCGCGCCGTGAAGGTTCTCTGTACATTTTCTAGGTCAGCAATTTCACCTGCCTTGAAAGGTGCTGTTAGTGTGCAGCAATATTCCAGCCTAGATAGAACAAGTGACCTGAAGAGTGTCATCATGGGCTTGGCCTCCCTAGTTTTGAAGGTTCTCATTATCCATCCTGTCATTTTTCTAGCAGATGCGATTGATACAATGTTATGGTCTTGAAGGTGAGATCCTCCGACATGATCACTCCCAGGTCTTTGACGTTGGTGTTTCGCTCTATTTTGTGGCCAGAATTTGTTTTGTACTCTGATGAAGATTTAATTTCCTCGTGTTTACCATATCTGAGTAATTGAAATTTCTCATCATTGAACTTCATATTGTTTTCTGCAGCCCACTGAAAGATTTGGTTGATGTCCGCCTGGAGCCTTGCA